GAAGAATGTCGCAAGGCAAATGGTCTTTCCGTTGAGACACCTCGTCTTGATTTTCTGAATGTAAGTTTTTGCCATGTACATGTGTACATGCTTTTTATGTTTTATTATATGTTTTTATTTTGAGAAATGAGTTTTTGTTCGAGTAGACTCGAATTACCAACCAACGAGGATTGAGATTTTTAAAAGCAAGGAGGGATGGCCTTTTTGTGAAGTGTTGGGATTCCAAACTGCCTAAGGGGTTTGCTTTGCTGAGGCTGAAAGTCACGGGAACGATCCGTAAACTTGATCAGTACATGGGGCCTATGTTTCGTCCTGATAAAACTCCAGGAGATCTAAAAAATGTGATTTTATTGGGAATGCTGGTGTCGGTGCTTTCGTTAAGTATGGATGCGCATAGTGTATCAGTTAAAAATTCAGCATTTATATAATTTTTTTAAGTTTGGCGAAGGCAGCAGCGCATCGTGTTCGGTGGAATCGGTGCTGTCGAACATTTCGCTGATCGACCGGGAAGATGCCGCCGATATTTCGGATGGTTCGAAAGGCTGGATTGTGGACAGTGCATCGAATAAATGCATGGGATGTAGTGAGTCGTTTCGTTACCCCACACAGCGGAAACATCACTGCAGGTTAGCTTGATCGTATTTTTGCCTTGATTTTCGAGAAAAGTACCCATTAGACGCTGTAATATTACTTTTCTCGATTCCGTTCATTTTTGCCTGTTGCTTGTTTGAAGTTCAGGATCCCGTGCTGTGAAAAGTTTTCTTTGGTATGAGTTTGCAAGAGCTTTTTTGTCTTCATTATTTTAATAGCATCCGTGTCGTAATTCTGGTTTTTTGTGTGATCCTCGAACTGGCGACTCGGAGTTATCTAGGGCTCAGGACGAGGCGAGATTAGTAAAAAAAGGGTAAAAACGAGAAGTCCTTATCCCTCAGATGCAACACCGTTAGAAGAAATTTTATCTGTTGCGTTTTGTTTTGGTAAAATCCGGCCTGTTACTGAGATTATTCCCTGCGTTAACTAATTTCTGTTGCGATGGGTTGCATATTTCTAAGAGCTACGTTGCATCATAACTCCCTCCTAGGTAAGTCGTGTAACGACGTGAAAGTGGCCTAATAAGGCCGCTGTAGCAGAATTTTAGAGAAGTGTTGGTCCAGTTTGGGGTTGCGGAATTGTGGAGGCGAACCTGACGACGGACGAGGGACGTGAACTTTGCTACTATCCCGAATTATTTCCTAGTCAACGTCAGGGAAACGCCTAGCCAGTAAATCCAACAGCTATTAACCGTGCTGAGATAGAAACCGTCGACAGCACTGCGGCGATTGTGCGGCTAAAATTGTGATCATCCAAAATGGGCCTAGTGCTTGTCTCTGTGAAGTTAAGAAAATGAGTCTTTACGAGGCATTTCTTAATGTAAAAAAGTGGGACAGGGTAAAAAGGAATATCAAAAAATGACTTTATTGTAATTTTAATTTTAGATGATGTATGTTTATGTAAAAAGTAAGGGTATGAAAATAAGGGAATAAAACGCAGCGATTACCTTAAATTACCTAATTACTTAATTACTTAAAAGTTACTTAAAAATAAAAAATTAGAAATTACTTAAATTGTCTAAATTAAATTAGCTAAAAATTACCTCAAAAAAATATCACTTCCCGGGTACCAATGTCCCCTTTCATTGCAGGAACTGTGGCCGTATTTTCTGTGGTCCTTGCACCACACATACCTTTTTTCGTGTGAACGAAAATCGAGGCGAGAACGTGCGTGTGTGCAACGAATGCTACGCACTGATGACGGCGAGCCGAACACGTGCATCGGATGCTGGCGAGCTAACACCCCCAGCACAGCGATCACAGAATCGTGATAGCAGCACTGGCAAATCGCCAACGTTTCTGGTTGGTAATGCAGACGGACAGACTGTATGTGGATGATGATGACAACGAGTCCTGCTGCTGCTGATTTGTTGCCGCCACTTACATATTTCATGCTTAACGAATTAATCAGTTTGTGCCGCTCCTTTATATGTCACTTTGATGATATTCCCCCTGCACCTTCTGCCCAACGAGGGAACGAACTGGGCACGCTTGCAAGCTAGCGCAAGGGGGGAAACGAGGGAGGGAGAGGGCGGGGCGGGGGAGGGGGGGGGGGGGGCGGTT